CAAAACCCAACAGCCTGAAAAAAATTCATCTGTGACCAGTTCCCAGTTGGCTTGATATTATAAAAGAATAGAGGAATATCACACCTGAATTAAATAAAACTTTCTGCTCACAGTAGTCACTCTAGTGTAATTTGCTCAACAAAATTTTGAATTTTGAATCTTGAATTTTGAATTTTTTTTCCTTGATCCAATCCGTGATCCGATCCGTGATCCGGCCCGTGATCCGATCCGTGATCCGGTCCGATCCAGGTTTTGTCGACGCCGCTTCAAACTCAAGGCAATAGAATATGCAGAAAGGGTATCTAAAAACGCAGCAGCGAAAAAATACAAGGTGGACGTGAAGCGCATCCGCGAATGGCGTAAGAATAAACAGTCGATCGCAGAACTGAAAGAAAAGCACAAAGGCCAGGGAAGAAAAAAGCTAGATGGAGGGGGGCGAAGGGCTGTGGATAGTGATCTTGACGACATAATCCTTGAATGGATTTATGGAAGAAGAGCTAACGGGCTAAGAGTTTCCCGAAAACTCATTATGGTCAAGGCAAAACACTCGTATGATGAAAGGTGCCCAGAAGGCGAACAAGATATGTTTAAAGGCACTGAAGGCTGGCTTCAAAAGTTTATGCTCCGGCATGGGCTTTCGCTGAGAAGAAAGACGACTACTGCGCAGCAAGACCCTCATCGCCTGATCGACAAATTGCTATCTTATATCCTTCAGGTTCGGAGACTTTCTCAACGACACGAGTATCAGCCTTCTGTATCATAGCTATGGATGAAACCCCTGTGTGGGATGATATGGTCTCAAACACTACTGTTGACAGGGTGGGAGCCTCATCCATCAACCTAAAGACCACTGGGCATGAAAAAGTCATGGTTACCGTATGTTTATCTGCACGAGCTGACGGTACAAAACTGAAACCATTCATTGTATTTCGTGCAGCCAAACGCGAAACAAGGAAACTAAATGAAGATTTCAGGCATAAATGCGTTGTAACAACATCGTCCAATCCCTGGATGAAGGAAGAGTTGACTCTGAACTGGGTTAAAAGCGTCTTGGGAGCATTTTCTTTCAACAGACGCTTACTAGCGTGGGGCTCTTATGAGTGTCATATGATGCAGATTGTTAAAGAAGCGCCTCACCAAATCAATGTCGATCAAGTCATAGTTCCTAGCGGTTGCACGAAATACGTCCAAGCACCAGACGTAAGCTGGAACAAGCCTTTCAAAGCATTAGTATCTGAACAGTATGATGCGTGGAAGGCTAGTGGTGTCCAAGAATTTACAGAGGCGGGAAACATGCGACCGCCACCGAGAAAGACCATTGTAGAATGGGTGTTGACCGCCTGGGCACGGCTTCCCACTGAGGTAATTACAAAATCATTTAAGTCCTGCGCATTAAATCTAGCCGTTGATGGCTCTCAAGATTCAGAGATCCATTGTTTCAAGAAAGGCCAACCATGCGAAGCAGGAGCAGAGCAGTTGAGGGCACAACTTTCCGTGCTTGATGAGCCCACTCTTCCAGACCCATTTCAAGCAATAACTAACTCAGACATAGAAGAGGCCGGCGATGAAAATACCATGGTGGTCGACGAGGACTCGGATGTTAACATTGAGCTATAAGAACTACCAGTACCCTTTTCCGCCACTTTCGCCACTTTGTATGTACCATATACCGTTATGGATTTGTAGACGGTTTACACTTATCAGCGGACGGACTTGATAGTCTGCTAAAGCTCTGTCATTTAGATTATTATAATACCGTATTTAGGTTACCATGTTACAGTTATTAAAATAAATGCCTCTCTCTTTTAAACGCCTCTTATCTTTTAAACGCTCCCCCCCCCCCCC